TTTTTAATAATTTATAACTATTTTTATGGTACATGCACCAATTAGTTATATACCACCTTTTATATTTATAGGTAGTAGATGCATTGTAGTTTCCACTCACAAAGAATATTTTATTTTTTAACCTAAACACTGCCAATATATTACAGTTCCTATTTTTGTAAAGCATTTATTATAAAATTTTCATATTAATTTTTTTTTTTTAACGAGAAATCAAATGTTACAAAATTCATGTGTAATAGAAATCAAATTTCCATTTTTTTTTGAAAAAAAAATATATATAATTCAGACGGAATTTAAAAGATGGGTTTGAAATTCTACAAGTACCTTCAGTGTCTAAATACCTCCACCAAGCTGTTTTGAATTCGATCTGTGTTGCTCATGATTAGTTGATCAACCATTGTATCGCGCTTCTTCCTCATTTGCATGTCATCACAATCAAATTACCCAAGCAACATCTTCATCAGAAAAGAAGTTTAAGCCTCAATTTCAGTTATCTTCAATAATAGTACATGAAAGATTGATTTACAAGAACTTGTTTCTGGGTGTAGTAACAGACCAGTGATAACAAAAGCAGGCAAATAAGGAAACTGTGACTAAATCAAATTCCGTCCAAATGGAAGCCTTGAACTTAAACTATTCATTTTAGCATCTCTCAAAAATCTTGTAAAGCTTTTCCAAAGAAGCCACCTGCAAAATGTGAGAATCATTAACACCTCTTGCCCTAGGGATAGAAGGGGAATCCTACCTATTCATCAAATTTAAATAAACCAATATCTTCTTAGACACTTTGTCACTGGCAAATCAATTTTCTAAACCTCTCTTATCAGTTATTAAGTTGCAGAATAAGTGAATGAAAAGATGTATAATGTATAACAAACTGGCTTAGATAATCTAGATAAGGTTGTAATTCCTATTACAGTTGAAGTATCTGGCAATTGATGAAAAACTTAAATTGAGGAGCTTTATAACTCTCGTAGAAACGTTTCTAAACAACTGATAGGGGGATAGCTTATTTATTAATAAACCTATAGCCTATAAGCTATTGAATAACATTTGAGCTTTACATCTTATAAGCTCTTATCTTTTCATGCTAAGCATTCACTGAAAGATAGATTAGACTACATGACTTCTATAGAAACAGAAGTTAAAACTGCTTAACAGGAAGGGTAGATGAACAATAGCTACCGACTTCCTACCTGGACAAAAGTTCCATTTGTAGCCATTGCAGTTGGTGGTTTTAAAAAAAGTCTCATGGATGGAACCAGCACATGTTGAATTGACCATTCCCGCTGGGCCCATGCAGTCTCTGCCTCTGACAGTAGCTCATGCTCAATATCATCCTTAATTTCAATAGCATCCCCTTGAAAGTTCCAAAAGTATATGAAAAATTATAGAATTTTGCAATGAAAAATTTGGAACATCATGTGACTGAAGGAAAACGCTAATGACTGGTTAAATAAAAAGGAAAAACTCTTGACACAAATTGAACCTCTTTTTAACACACAAAAATATCATTTTCCAGACTGGTAATCTGAATCATAGAGATGAAGATCTCATTGCAAAATATTCCAAGCAATTGACCTCTTTTAAATGCTAATGATGCAATTCTAGCCTTAGAATAAAATCCACAGTCCACTCTGTATACTCTACATTATTGCAGCCCACAACTAACCTAGCTAGTTTTTTTATTGAGAAAACCCTTATTGCTGTGTCATGCATCATTTTGGGGGAATTTTGATCCATTTCTCTCTTTATCAAAGTAGTAATTTTTAAAGCAGAGACTAATTTGAAGGAGGAAATCAAATCTAAGGCATCGAAAGTTTGGTAAAAAGAAAATCCAAAACAAAAACTAAAAAGACGTTCATTATGGTGCTTGGAAAAAAAAAGCATAAAAAAAATTGTATATGAATTGTAAACAGGTCAAAGAACTCTAAAGTATCGTGTTCATCATGATTAGATGCAATAACTTATAAACAAAGGAGCTACAACTGACTAAACACAGTTCAGAAAACTGGTTAGAAACTGAAGGAACAGGTATATCAGAAATGCAAAGCTACTAAGGACTGTTACCAGCATTATCCATATTGCTATGTTGAAGCTGGAACTTCAAAATAATAATAAACAGTGAATTCAAAAAAAAAGAACCACAATATAAGAAACAGAAAAGGACAATTCATCTTACAAAAATTCCAAATAAGAAGTCAATAAAATTTAGCAGCAAATGTACCTGTATCGTTAGAGGAATTTCTCCTGTCTAGAGAATTGCTGACAGATTTTCTCTTCCGGTAAAATTCCAAACCATCACCTGAAGGATCAGGCATTAGAGGAGGATGCATGGCATAAAAATTTCCCAGTGCAGCTGCAATTGCTTGAAAGCAATTTTTTTCGTTCTCCCAATCAACCTACAACAATCAGCAGAAATAATGCCTAAAACGGGATATTCTGCTAGTCAAGACATTGATGCTTAGACACATCAAATTGATACTGCAACCACAAATACATGATAATAATTATCAGATATGATAATCTGATCATTCTTAGGTAAAGAGAATTAATTGTCATTATTCTTCTCTCGAACTTATATAGTGAAGAAACATGACAAGTATTGATAA